CATAATAAGAACTCCACATAAGGTTACATGCACGCAGTACACTCAGCTCTCCTACAGGAGCAGGAGTTTATCACGTACCTGCCCTGACAACCTGAAGGTCACCTTGTGACTATCAGGAAATCCTCATCACTCACTGCTGATACCAAACCAAGGCCTCAGTTTCACCGCTCAAACGGCTTGGTGGCGTACATATCTTAAAATGTTCCTCTCCTTTCACCCACACCCTAGTGCTATGGTTGCCCTCAGAAAAACTACCTAATCTGCCACACTGTGCCTCAGACAGAACTGCTCCAAACCAGAACTGGTTTTAACTCAGAACAGAGCCCTGCTCCAGTTCAATTTACAGCCCCCAAAACTTTTGTATTGGCATAATGCAGGTGAGGGGTGTCCATGCAGCAGCACCTACCTAAGTGAAAGGTGCCACTACAGTTTTCACACAACTGCAGCGTGAGAACACAATGCGGGGGCAGAAATACCCTAAGCTGGTATCGCCATCAAACATGTTGGATCATGAAAACACAAGCAAAGGGTGTAGTCTCATGGGATGTGAGCTTGGACAGCAAAGCAGTTTAGAAGTTCCCACCCCACGTGCTCATTTCAGTGATCCTGTTCACAGCACAGCTTCACAAAGAGTTTTACTGACACAACAAAAAGATTGCTAAGTATGGTGTAGGGGCAGGAAAGAAGCAGCTTCACTGCTGAAGCCAAATCTTGTGAAACTACACCCCAGGTATTTGTTGTAGAAAGAACAGCCTGTCTAGTAACACTTGCCAAAGGTTTGCCAAGCACCTGCTCCAGAACATCAGAACTCAGACCCAGCAAACATTCCAAAATACAGACTCTTAACAGAGTTTTATTGAGATGATGCAGTCACCAAGTAATCTGAAGTCGCAGGACCAACCACAAGATACAAAAAATAAAATTTAAAAAAACCCCACCCCGCATTTTCCTATTTTCTGCAGTCTAAAGATCCAAAGGTGTATTAAAAATATACTCCAAAAATCATTTATGCAAAATGAAGGTGTGACAGCTGGCAGGGGAGCCAAGAAAGCTTTCTGCTAGAACTTTGTGAAGAAGAGGTTGCAGAACAAGTTTCTTTAAAAAAAAGTTGTAACCGGTTTATCAGGTTAGAGGAATTCACTGGTTCTTCCGCCTCTTCCCCCATCCCATTTGTTTCCAGATGCTCATTTAACCAGCTTGTTTCTTGCTGAATGTGTTGAAAGTAAATTGCACCTGCAGCTCAGCTGGATGATCAATAGACACCCAAACACACTTTAGAGAACTGGCAATTTGCTATCACCTGCGGAAATGGCAACCTCTCAGTATTTTAAATTTGTGCATTGTTTAGGGGAGTTGGGGGAGGAAAAGGCCCAGCTTTGTCTTTCTCTGTTTAAAATATGAACTGAAATAATCATTCATATATTGGATTCAATGTACAGTGTGATGAAAGATTGGCAAGATTAGGACTGTGTTTTAAGCAAATTTTAATACTTAAATGTCAATCCATAGATGAAATCTGGATGCTTTCAATAGGTCCAAAAGCAAACCCAGCTCTCACTTGAGAGCCTCTCCCTTTTTATATGTATTGTTCAAAGTAAGATGGTAATTATGGCTAAATACTTCAGACAGCTCTCCAAAATTATTAGTTTTTCCTAGACTTATCCTTTGTCAGGAAGACATGCAAATATTGCCTTGTAAAAGGAAAGTAACATGTCTTAAGGCAAGTCATGCTGATTCAGCCAGGTTTTCTGCATGCAAAAGATTAAGAAATTCACAACACTTTTAACTTTGTATGCAATCTTTAACTTAGAACACCCATGGCTAAAATCAGAGGAGCACATGAGGATGTCAGCTTTTTAATGACAGAGTAATGGGGCTGAGAGAAAGGCAAAGTTCATTTTGGTTTTGCTCTTTAAAAGCAAGCCTTCATTTCTGCAAGGTTTCAGAGAGCAACCTGAAAATAATTGTTCCCCCTTAAAAGCTTGGAAATTGGGAAACTATAAAGCTACAGCAGTTATACCTAAGTAATGTGCTAAATAAGCCAGTCCTGTCATTTGAGGAACTGAACAATGAAACCTAGCAAGACTGTAACAATAATGCAGGAAGAAAACTATTCCCTTTGGTGACTGATGTAGCTAATGTATGTTTAGAGACTTACCTCACAGGCTCAAGACAGTTCCAAATACACACTCAAACAAGAGATCTCCCACTTACTTTGTTAAATAAAAATCCTCACATGTTTCTACTCAGTAGCATTCTGCAACTACAGCACATCTCATTCAGCAGCACTAAGTTCACCATTACTGGTCCAACATCAGAGATGAGTTATTAATGCCATTTTGAACTACATACTTCAAGCAGGCTGCTTCTAAAGGGCACACATTTTATGACTTCAGGTAATTATTTCCCCAATATTTGTAGGTACTCCCCTCCCCACCCAAAGCATAGCTATCACAACATTGCACATCACCTATCAGAAAATACAGCTGGATCCCATAAATGCAGTACTATCTATGGAATGAAATGCTTGTTACCCTGGACAAGTACAGTATTTAAAACCTTGCAGCAAAACATATAGAACATACACTGCAACAAACATCACGGTTCTTTGGGGGCATGGTGTTTCAGAACCTCACTTTGTAAAATTACACAGCAAAAACCTACTGATGAGGAACCCTATTTTAGAATATTTCTTAAGACAGACTCAAGTAACAAGCTGTGAGAGATGTAACACCTGAAGAATATGATGTACAATTGAAAAGATGATACATCATTTGTGGAAGTGCCTTCTTAAAAGCAGAGTAAAGACTTAACCACAGCTTACAGACCTTTGGTAGCCTCCATCATTGCTGGAAAGTGAATAGCAAAAGAAGAAGGCTTTCTGTGGTCAGTGGAGAAAGTCCAGCCCCACAGTAGCCAGTCTACTGTTTACCAGATACCAATCACCGAATCAGAACCACAGAATGCTCCAGGTTGAAAGAGACTTCTGAAGCACAGATAAAAGTTGCAACGGATTTGTGCTTAGTGATTCTCACTTCCTTCTAGGTGTAGAGACTGGGAACCCAAGGCAAAAGCCAGAAGTAGACACTGAAACTTCCATTTACATGACTGAGATATGTGCTAAAGTGAGCGATTTCCAGTTGCATCATCAATTTTCTACCACAATCCAAACAGGGTGTGGAAAGCTAATTTCACATACTCTACAACATTATCTCAAATCAAGGTACAAGTCTACTTCCTTTTCCTCCTCCTTTTCAAACAACCACTTCACCCACCTGTACTTTTCCTAATCCAAATGCTTAACTGAGAAAGAAAGAAAAAGTAATCCATATGTGTTGACAAATACCTGACTCATCCTTAAAATATATGATGCAATTGAAATATTTAATGGACTCATCTTCAGAAATGCAGAAAAGGATTTTCTATTAAAGAATACAGAGATTTTCTTTTTGCCACCACTGCAAGCGGAAGGTTGAATTAATTCTCTCCTAACTCCACAAGGAGCCAAAACACATGAAGGGGAAGCAAGATTAGTTTAAGTAAGGTGTGTTCCAGAAGACCTATGATGGAACTAGCCACATCACAACTGGCACCCAACAATTAACAGCAAAAACATTATTTAGTTGCATAGATATGCAAACAAAAAGGAAAAAAATTGTTGGTTTTCAAGAGTCTCTACCCACCTACACACAGAGGTAGTATTTCCTTTTATTTGCTAAAGCAGACCCACCTACCGTGCAATTTACGGCAATAAGATACAATCTTTCATAAAGTATCGAGTATAATTAAAGTGTGTCTGTTATAAAGGTAAATAGAGTGTACTAAGCTAAGCTGTTCCAGATGTCTTTAGTGCAAGATCTAGGACAAGATCAAACCTGCAGCTGCACATTTTCCCAGGGGTTATTATGGAGCTAAAAAAAAAATAAAAAATAAAAAACCACCTCTTGGTCTTGGACTTCAGCAAAACCAGTGCAAGTAGAACAAATGCCACCTGCAGCTAATGCTGACAGATTTTAAGACACGTTAAGAGTTACATGTTCAAAGCCACTCACTACAAAGTACACTGTTAACCATTCCAGTATCAAAGAGGGTTAGGACCAAGTCTGCCAAGTTATCTATGTCACCAGAAGTTACAGCAACATGAACCTGTTCTACTGCCTAAGCAAGTTTCTTGCTGAAACACACCTATGATGATTCAGACAAGGTGTGGAAAGTCAGGTTTCTGTGTTACAGAAAAATGCACTATTGTATTTTTCCATTCAAGCACATTTTATGTATAAAAAAAGTCAAAGCAAGCAAACTTTCAGGAACTGCATATGTATACACTATTGGCATTAAATTATTATAACTAACTTCAGTCTTCTTGAGATGTACCATACAAACTTACAGATTTACTGTCTTAGTGAGACATTAAAGGAGCCAAAGAAAATTACAGAAATCACAGGAAAAAAAAAAACCCTTAACTACTTTATAATCTACTAATTAAGCTCATCTGGAAAAGAGTAATACACAACAAGTACAGCTGATGTTATATGAAAGTATAGTTTTGAAGATTTCAACTAACTTTTAAGAACAACAAATGAGAAAAAGTCAAGTTTTTTAATACCCGTTAAAGCAGTGAATCTGTAGATTAAAACATACCATGTGAATTTTGAAACCTTGATTAGCATTGCTATATTAAGTAGTACCATTACCAGCCTACTCTTAAAGGCTTAAGAGAAATTTAGAGTAAAAGTACACCCATCAAAGTCAGATCTTCCAAGGTCTTACAGCATCAGCTCAAATACTCTAGTATTGTACATAACTGTTTCAGAATTATGGGGTTCTCGATTTAAATGGTTTGGGTCTCTTTTGAGTTAGCTTTAAAACAAGCATAGAAACTTCCTAGTGAGTTCAAAGTGAAAGGCAAAATTAAAACTTATTTCTTTTTCCAAATCCATTAAATCTTGTTGGCAGGTTTTTACCCTGAAGAGTCCCTGCTCCCAAGAGCAGCACCTCACCTGTTGAAGAACCCGGTCCAGTGGTTCAGCTTTGCTCAGTCCCTCTGGTGTTAAGGCACTGACTTCGCGACACTGGTCACTTAAGTCCAAGTTGTCTGCTTTCACCAGGGATTTGTGTAGTGTCCCTACCTACAAAAATATTTAAGAAATTATGGACAAAAGTGAGGAGCAACGGAATTAGCTCTTTAAAACACTGAGCTCGGACTGCAGAGAAATCAGAAAGGTGCAGTGTCACAGCCGATACCAACCGCCAGGAGAAAAGCATTTGCCTATTTCACAAATCGAAACCTTTGGCCTCGGTTTCTCTCCCTCCACCCAGGAGAGCCACACGCTCTGCTTTGGTGTGTCTGAGCCCGTTTACATGAGATGGTTTTTGCAGTTAGCACCGATTTTTGCGGGAGTTGTTAATGGCAAAGCGAAGATCACTTCATGTTAAGGCAGTTTCATTAATCTATTAAGGAAATGGATAGTCATGTTAGTTTTATCAAAGCCCTTCATCTCTAGGGGGCTCTTGTCTAGGATGGGGGAGGGGAAGGGAAATTAGGGATTACTTTTAGATCGGCCTAAGAATTAAAATAAATCAATATTCTTTTAAAGGTTATCCAAATATTGGTTAACAAGAAAGAAAGAAAGAAAAAAAAAGGCTCCTGCAGCAGGCCGCAAAGGGTCCAGTGGTTACCGTGAGCCCGCTCCCAGGAAAGCTTGCATGCTTGGAGCCACCCGGGGCAGCTTTTTGTTTTAAAGCTTCAGAAGTCCGTAGACATCCTCGAAGCTACACACGTTTTAAGGCGGACGGGACAGTGAGGGGTGGGAAGTGACTAAACTTTCTTTAAAAGTTACTTCTTCCCTTCAGACGGAACAAAAAGGACCTTCCCGACTGGGCGCCCCGGGCAGTGACTGACCCCCGGGCACAGGCCCCGCGCCCTCCCCTCCCTCGGCACATTTGGGAAATGAATAAACGGCTCCGGGCAGGCGGCGAGTGGCCGGGAGAGCCCGCTCGCCCCGCGCCCGGGGAACGCACCCTCGGCCCGGATGTCGAAGCCATACCTTCTTGCTGTGTAGATCCACAACTTGCCACACCAAGAGAATTAGTTCCCTCTCATCCGAACCCAGTTTAGCCCCATATGCACCAGCTGTTGCCCCAAACAACACCACCAAAGAGTCACTGTGCGAAGCCGTCATGACCACAGGGGGAAACAACTACAATCAAAAGCAGAGGTCAAAAAAAAAGAGAAAAAAAAAAAAGAAAAAAAAAGAAAAAGAAAGACACACTAACAAACAAAACAACAACAACAAAAAAACCCCACGAGGCTCGCCCCCAACCTCCAAGTAATCAAAGGGGAAAGGAGCGAGAGAGGAGTCATAATATCAAGAGGAAAGAAAGAGTTATTTAAGGAAGTTGGGTGTTTGAGAAAAAAAAAAAAAAACATGGAGAAAGTAAGCTCACATCCCTACCTGTTCCCGGTGCTCTCCTTCCCGGGGCTGATTGGGAGGTGAAATTAGCAAGCTGTGGGTTTCTCTCCCTCTGACATCATGGCAGAAGCTCAGCCTAGGCTTGGTGATTTTTTTTTTTGCCTCTGTGTTTTTTTTTTTTTTTCCTTCCCCCTTCCCCTCTCCTGAGTTACCTGCCCCTGGTGCAGCTCATGTGACTCTAGTCAATCTCCCAAAGGAACAAGGCCATTGGGCCTCTGAAAAAGGTGTAGGAGGGACGGAGGGAGAATCAACGCCTGGCTAATCTGGCCTGATTGGTTTTTGAGGGAGATCAGAGGACAACTCCCTTTCTCTCTCTTTAATTCTCCCTGCAGGAAGTGCCTCTACCTGCTTTCAGTTTTGCGGGCTCCTGCCCGGCACAGGCAATCGCGCTCCGGCCCCTCGTGCGGGGGATACGGGGCTGTGAGCACTCACACCCCGTCCCATTTCCTTGGGAAATCTGAAGAACACATACGTACAGTTGCTAAAGCACAGTTTATGTCTTAGCATTGAAATCTCCGAAACAGAAGTCTTTACCTGCTCCTAATTAATTTCCTTTTGTGCACGTTGCTACGTGTGTATCCAGCTGCTGTTGCCAACGTTAATGTATAATAAAAGTGTAGTATTCTACAAGGATTTTAAGCGATATTACAGACAGAAAGTACTTTGTATTTTAGGCCCTATTCTCTAGTTTGTAAAAGTGGATCCTAGGAAAATATTGTTTTGTTTGTTTTGAGAGAGAGTGTTTGTAGGAAGTTTTGCAAAATAGCAATATAAAGTCCTGCATTTTCTACCCTACAACTGCTCAGTAAGGAACTAGTTCCTGGGTATTAACTGCAGATCAAGTTGGACAGCTTTTCTCTATACCTCTCTCCTGTTTCACAGCTGAGAATCTACAATGGGAAATCACCATCCAGTTTAGCTGCTACAAAAACACTCTGCTAAGCATTTCTGCTCAACAGCAGCAGCAGTAATATTTGTAACATTGGGAACTGAGACAATTTTCAGAGATATTGTCAAACTCAAATTTATTTTAAAGCTGAAAATTAAAGCACCTCTAAACTATTATAACAGTTATTATTTTTCCTATTGCCACCACTGAGGAGCTACTGATGATTTTTAAAGGCCAGATGCTGCTAGTTAGACTAGTCATAATATTTCTTTTGTTCAATTAAATCTCCAGTTTGTACTCCGATATTAGTGTTGTGTTTAAATACAGCTCAGAAAATACAGAAATTCAGAAATACTGAATGAAAAATTATGCTGCTATTTAGCTACTGATGTCTATAGTGGGAAAATGCAGAGTTGGACATTTAACTGAATAGCTGATAGCTTTAATTATTAAATCACATTTTCTCATCTTCTTTTAACATGCTAATTTTATAATTGGTTAATTATAACAGTTACTGTGGACCTCCTTCAGCAAACACTGATTCACATGCTAACACCATAATAAGACTAATTCCATTTATTTCAATGAAAATAAACTATATTTCAAGGATGCTGTCTCATGTGAAGTACCTTAGAAGTCATGTATTAGAAGCACGCAGGAAACTCTGCAGTGCAAAGGTGTATCTCACTGAACATTATAAGGTAGTTGTTAAACACCTCTCAGCTGTTGTCTCTGCAGCTCACATGTGCAGCTGCCTGAGAAGTAATTCTGAAGGTATTTCATAGGTACAGAAAGGGTAAATTCCCAAACACTCAGAGATGAAAACTTTAATCTGTAACATGTATTTATATATTCAAAATGTTTTCAGCATTATATTTTCTGGCATTGCTGAATTTATGCAACAGCTATATTTTCCTCTGTCAATACATTTCTAGAAGTGATCAGTAGAATAAAAACCCACTTATATTCCTTTTGATTCCTTATATCCTTCGGATATAGTGGTACTGAAACAGCATAGCAGCCTGATCGAGTATGGGATGGTTCTTATCCCAAAAGTCTGTAATAAGAACCATAAAAATACATTGACTGCAAGTGTGAGAACTGTTCCTCTTTTCCCAACTTGTTCCTCTCCTCCCAGGTACACTTCTCTTAGGCGAGTGTTTGAGGGGAGGCAGTGTTTGTACACATAAGTGTAAACACAGATTTTACCTGTAGTTATGTTCATGGAAAAAAATGTACCCATCTGTTGCAATGTAGCTGCCTTCATGAGGGTATCATTTTGTAGCCCTGATGTGTAGATCACACATAATGGGATTATAATAAGCAGATTTCTATAGAAGATCATACAAATGATAAATTCTTGGCCAGTTTGACATATATGATCACAGGCTCCAGTGAACTCGCACAGAGAATGCCAATACACGTGTACTTGTCTTTTAGGATCTACGTGAAAGAAAAAGTATTGTAATTCACTTAGAGCAGCATGTCAGATTAAAGAAGTCCTCCTCAGATCAGCGTCAAAGACCCTTGAAATCTTATTTGAAATTTATGCATGGTATCAAGGCTAGTGAGCCCAAAAGCTTCTATGCTTTTCACAATTATATTAGCTCATCTCATAAAATGTAGTCCCTCTTCCTAAAAAACCCATCTGGTTTCTACTATCTCAATTCACGTAATTTTACTGTTAATAATTTATCTAAACTATTCCAGCTAAATTAACTTCAAACATATTCTAAAATGTTTAAAAGAAAAATTTAAATAAATATTGGCCTTCCTGGGATATCAAACAGTTTAAAATATCAGATTAGGGTTTCTCATTCAGCTTCTACGCACAACTCTCCACCTCTCTGCCCTGATTACACAGGTCTCTGCAATTATATTAAAAAATATGAAGGAATAACATCTCCTGTCTCCACAGAACAGCAACAGGATCCACTTCCTGAAAAACATGTGGGACAAGCCCTTGTACAGTGAGCACAGCAAAGTTAATTTGTAACCAAGATCTTGCTGAAATAAAGAGTTATTGCTCACCTTTAGCTTTAATCCTGGCAGGTATATTTGTAAAGGTACTTGTTTGCAGGCTTCATACAAGGATAATGTCTCATAAATGTAACTGAGTGGAGAATAAAAGTTTTAAAGATGGGCATTCATTGTTATGCAAGCTCAGTACTGTAGATATTTTGTTTGTTTCTTATTAATCAAGCAACTAAAATTAGAAAATAGATCACAGATCACATGAGAACACTGAGCAAACTCATTACATGCATTGTGAGTGCAATGGATAAATCTGTAGTTGCATTTTCATTCTTAGTATACACACTACACTGCTTCATGAGATGAGGAGAGGAAGGGAGGGGAGGGGAGGGAAAAGACCACCACCTCTTTTATCTTTACTACATTATTATTAAAAATTCCTGTGGACTGAATGTCCCAATCACTGAAGTCCTTTTGTTAAAGCTGAATATGAAACTTGGAGACATGGGATCTGGAGTAATATCCTAGCTGCATTCAGATCTACAGAAATACTTCATCTACCTTTCAGGGAAGCTAGAAGTCAATCTTCTCTTCCAAACTCGTATGATATTGAGAAGTTATTTGTCCTCATGAATATTTTACTCATCAATTAAAAGGAAAAAAATATGATTGATGTTTAACCCTGTAAATTATTTGAAATGCCCTGAGAAAAGTGAATTAACTTTGAAATTGGCTCTGAATTCAATATTGGCTGTGCTGGCAGGGCAGAGAGTTTGGACCAAAAGACATCCAGGGCTCTCTTCTAGATGAATTTTTTGGGGGGTTCTGAAAAACGGAGATACTAAATTGAGTAAGTATGGGGCCTTGGTGTTTATCTGCACAATAGGGGTAGTAGTAAACTCTCTGTGTGCCTCAGCATCTCCAAAGTGAACCGGCACAGGAAGCAAAAGATCTGTGAGTGATCTGTAAGCAAATGTGAGAAGACATTTAGACTTATCAACTCAGTCCTTGGCTCCTGGGTTGAATTATAGGCAACTGCAGCAATATTTTCTGAAGGAGGAGCTTACTGTAACTCCTGAAACATAAACCCATATGTAAAGAATTTTCTGGCATACTTTCTTCAAGAGCAAGTGAGTGGGAAAAGGCATGGGAGAAACTGCTTAAGAGTGTTCTTTGCTGTTCAGATATTTGGAGAGATCTGATTTTTTTAGTCTGACAGGTAGGTCTGACATCATCACAATGCAATGTAGAAGCCTTGAAATAATTTCCATCAAGATATCCACAAAAGCTTGGCAATATGCAAAAGAGCTTCAGAAAGGTGGTTCTGATGGATTGTTACCTTGCAGATACTAACACCATCAACCCCTACTGAAAGCACTGACTTAGACTCCTGTATCAGTTGGAATTTAATTTCTATTGACTTAAAGGTAAATTAAAACATAAAATTTGTGACTAGACAAATAAAAGTAGAATTACTTCCCCTATTACTTTACGTACCTTCTCTCCTTTATGGGATGACAATCAATCCAGTGCTTTAACCTTACAAAGGTTTTATACAGTTCCCATTGGATATAGGTGTGTGCTGTTTAGCCAGTCTCTCTAGATTACAGATATCAGATTTTTCAAAATCTATGCATTTACTTTTCTACCAGGTATATGGAGAGATCAAACATGCATGCATAGTAGTGTCTTTTACAAACATTACTATATATTTACATTAAAGTTAACAGTTTCTAACAAATACACAGTGAATTTCCATTTATTTCTGATTGGAAATAATGCTGTCCTTCAAAAAAGTTACTAGACAGTTTTCTGGAATTAGAATAATTGAAATGATTCCTGATGAGGACCTCTGCAAGTCCTCTTGTCCAACACTGTGCCCACAGTTGGGCTATTGCCAGCACTAGATTGACCCAGCCAGGATTTTGTTCAGCTGCGTCTTGAAAACCTCCATGGATGACCTGTTCCAGTGCTGCACTACACTGCTGATGAGAAACTTTCTCCCCGTTGCCAATCTGATCTCACTGTTAAATTTTTAAATAATTCACTACAACTAGTTGAGACAGGATCTTAAATTAGACAAGCCATGTGATACAATTTCTGTTACCTAATGAGATGAATATGCAAGTGTTTCCTGACCCTTTCAGTCTACCTTACCTGTGATTAAAAACTGACTTTGTGTGAAGCTTTATTGCCCCTACAATCTGTCTAAATAAATTTTTATTGCAATTTGTTACTTTTTTTACTTGTTTCAGGTATAATATGAAAATGGAAATTCAATGGAAAATATTGTTTTTGTGGCACGTTTTTAGGCAAAATGATATTCAGCTTCAGATCAAAGCAATTCTATTACTGACACATCCTCTCTTTGTCCATTGAAAGGATACAGCATTTTACAAGTCTGTCAGTGCAGCAACATAACCAACAGTAACAAATTTGCTTTTTAATGATAAGACCAATCTAGTGAGTTGTTTGTTGCAGAAGCTATAAAGGAAGAAAGCTCCACTACCACTATCCTTGCCATCATTACTATCATCCTAGTGAAAAGAGTAAATACATAAATTGATAACACACTCTACTGCAACAGCTAAAAGCCAAGATGTTGTCTATTATTCACTAGCATTTACATACTATTAAGTAGAATCATCTTCTTTGTAAGCAATAAAATTTAAAATTACTTTACATGTTTAAAATCCAACAGGATAAAATTATATCCTCTTGTGAAAAGACCACGAGGTTAAATCGTCAAAATGAAAAATGAGAATGACCTGATGTCTTCATGAAGCATGTAATTTGGGCCATTTTATACTTGATATTTAACAGATCATCTCAGAGACTTCCAGTCATAGGAGCAGCAGGACAGGTAACTCAGTAGTCCTTTAACTGTTTAGAAAAGAATTTCTGCACTACTCCATACTACTCCTTCAATGGATCAATGATATTCAGGCCACCATATTCCCACACTGAAATGAACTCACACTGTACAGCTAGAAGGTTCTCAGAAGTTCACTGAAACACAAAATCACTGATGTTTTAAAGTGAGACAGCTACAGCCATCTGAAACATTGGATATCCAACTCCAGTCACCTTGCATGGAAACACAAAAATAGTTAGACAACATAAGAAGTGTAAATGCCATTATCTACATCAAAAGATCTGCATGCTCTACACTACTCTCACTTACTGAGAGCTGGTAATCAATGCTGCAATACAGCAATGATGAAAGAATGGATCAGCAAGTAAATAGAAAGGACTGTACACTGGAAGTCCAAATTACCCCATGGAAAACAACTACACAAATTACACAATTAATGATGAATTTATGCACGTTACATTTTTCAAGTTTTACTGATAATTGGCCTCATGACATTATCTTGGTAGAAATTACAAATCTCTGGCTGTTTATTCAGATTTTACCACAAGCTCTCAGCTGACACAAAAACCTTGATAAAAAAGGA